TATATATATATATAAAGACCCAAAGTTTTGCTCCCAAAAAAATGTATCCCATTTTTCCTCAAACTTAGTTTGTAAAAAAGGAAAAGCGAATTCTGTTTTCTTAAAAAGTTATGAAAATAGTAAATCGGGAGTGCCCCTTGGTTTAAGAAACTTGGGATAAAAGAAAGAAAAAGGAAAATTCAATAATTCAATAAAAACTCTAATTCTAGTCAACTTAGGAAACACCAATAACTTTGCTTAAACACCAAGCTTACAAACTCTATAAATACAGTACGTACCATAAACTAGAGTTCACGCCTCCTTTGAGTTCATTAGTTTCTCTTTGATTGTTCCTTTAGTTTGTAAGATTTCTCTGTTACAATATGGCGGCCTCCGTTTGCATCAGCCATCATTTGGTTGTCTTGCTATTACTCTTTTCCTGTCTTGTTGTTGTTGTTTCGTCTTTCTCTTTGGCGAAAGAAGCTGTTGGTCCCTTTAATTCCATATACACTTTCGGAGATTCTTCATCATCAGTTGCTGATCATGTTGCTGCAACCCTCAGTTTGCCTTCTCCCCAACCATACACTCAACGAGGCACTGAATTCTTCGAGTCTGGCCTGAGTTTTGCGACGCCTGGAGCGACTTTCATGAAGCCCTTTTTCTTCCTCAAGAATGGCATCCCAGCGCCTCCACAGTCACATGACCTATCTCAGATTTCTACCTTCATGAGGTTCTTCTATGAAGACTGCTTCTCTTTTCATGACTGCGGCAGAAATAACAAGGTTCTTCCGAAGGCGCTCATCTTTATGGATCAACCCGGCATCAATGATTACAAGCATGCCTTCTTACATGGAAAATCTATTTCAGAGGCGTCTCTTCTCGTGCCTGAAGTGGTGGAGACAATTAAGAATTCAATAGAGAGACTCATCAACGAAGCTGGGGCCAAAACTCTCATGGTTTCTGGAATTCTACCCGTGGGCTGCTTTCCTGGTTTTAGGACTCTGTTTCCCGAGGTCGATTCAATTGGCAAAAACAGATGCCATAAGGGATTGAATATGTTTTCGAAGCTTCACAATGATCACCTATGGCAAGCAATTCTGGAGCTGCGTCTAAAATACCCTGATGTTCACATCATATATGCAGATTACTACAAAGCATTCATGGCTGTTCTTAAAAATCACGCGTTCCTGGGATTCAAGACAAAGACTTTGATGAAGGCATGTTGTGGAAGTGACAACGGTCCATTCAATTTTGATGCACAGAAGCAGTGTGGAGAGGAAGGGGTAGCTGTATGTTCTGAAAGGGCTTCACATTTATATTGGGATGGATTTCGATTGACACCCGAGGCTTTGGAGAACCTGATCGATGCGCTGTTCAGCAAGAAAGGATTTGTATTCCCAGAATTGAAGGTTGGAGAAGAAACAGCAGCAGCAGTAACAAGGCGTCATTCCAGGATTCTTGCACGAGTTGGAGACATGTCTTCTGTTTTTAGGCATTTACTCTTTGTCTAAGTCAGTTTTCTGCATTCAATTCTTCTCACTATTGTGTTTGATTCTAAGAGTAGTCCCTCATTGGTTTGTATGTACAGGGGAATGCCCCTCTTAGCTTCTGTAACAAGTAACAATTCTTTTGATTCATTATCAAATAAAAGTATCCTGATTTAATTCAAATATTTTTCTAGAGATGAGTTGATGCTTATTAAGTACTTTATCTGTTTATCCTGTTTTTATCTTTCAACCTTAATTTTAAGCCTGAGATTGACAAAAAGGGTTCAACTGTTTGTAAGAAACTTAGTATCAGAAACAAGATTGCCTTCCCAATTGACCTGGTTAACAGTAAGTAACCTGATAAGAATCCAATTATAATGATAAGAAAATACAATTAAAAAGAGTAGAAGGGAGACACTTCCTTACAAGATTGAGCATTACATTGACTGAATGTTTTACAATGAAAACTTTTGACTGATATACCTATTTTCTGATTGGAAAGAAGCTTTCTTCTCTAGAACAAAAAACCAAAGCCCCTCTAAAAGTGAAAATCCAAGATCTTCAAACTTGGTCGATCCAATAGACAGACCAATTGACTGGATCTGCTGTGGTACAATTTGCCAAAAATAGTGATTTGCCCCTGCAAAAATAATTTGATCAGTCGATAACAGTGCCTTGCAAATATCTAATTTTCTGAACTACGAAAGAAACTTCCAATTGCAACACTATGATACCCAAATCAAAGAATCCCTCTTGCTATCACGACTACATTTAACAGCTTAAATATCAAGGCAACTGGTGCTTCCACTACCAATATTTTAGAGATTCATAATTGAAATTCCACATCCAAAAGTTAAAGGTTAAATACCCAATTGGTCAAATAGTAAAGAGAAAGCCTAACCATACTGACTATTACAAAGGGATTACAATTTACAAGTATGCTTAAACATACTTCAGAAACCATACACATTATTGGACGACTTTGTCATATCATTTAGTTAAGTCTTACAAAGTCTTTGAAGTTGGAAGTTCAAATTGTTGTAAAGTATGCAAGAGCTGTCAAGAGAAACGTCTTCTCTGAGTAAGCATTAAAGTACAGCCTAGACCTTAGTAAAAAGGACATTCATTTAATTGGAAAGAACAAAAAAAGGGCAGAAAATCAGCTTAATGCAACTGCATAAGGAATAAGGGGTTTTGTCTCTCAGAACTATTATCATTAGAGTTGATCATAGTTATTAATTAAGTTCCTTTTATTCAGAGATTCCATGCACGGTAGTTGACACTAGTCAGAACAAAATTTATAAAAGTGCAAGATCTATCAAGCAGACTTACTACAAAAGGATTGGATTATCGATTTCCTTTGCCCCTTAAAATAAGAAAAGAGCACATAGCACTTACAGCAGGCAAATAGAAGTCATAAACAAATACAATGCCTTTCTCATTCATAGAACACCTTAGGCCAAGCATTGGCGCCTGTATTATTTTTCTTTTTTAAAAAAACAAAGGAAAGGCGCCTGCATCTTTTTTCTGTAGGGCGCAAGTAGCAGCGAGTTTTAATATGCAGATGAAACTACTTCTAGGAGAACAAATGTTATTACCAGTTCAAATACTTTGTCGCCGAAAAAGTTATAGCTCCTTCTGTTCAGGATCAAGAACTACTGAATCAGGCAGGGTCTTTTCTAGTGACTTCCTAGGCCTTCTGTACCAGAGGAAAGCAAACCACAGAGTTCTGAACAATGCACCATTTGCAAAATGTGGAATAAAAATTCGACCCCAATATGGATAATATGGTCCCGGCAACTTTAGCAGAGTGAAGAAAAGGCCAATGGCAATCAAATGCCAGGGAACTTCTGCATTCTAACATTGTAAATTGAGCAGAAACATGTCAGTATACAACCAGACTTCATTCATGTTATTTTCTTCTTGGACAAAGAAGCAGATCAATTCTAGACATGTAGCACAAACTTTAGTCCATAATTGCAAAAAGCCAAACAGGGACAAGTTGAACTGGGGGGAAAAAGAGAATAAGGGATAGCAAAGCAGAATGACATAGAGATGGAAGAGTCCCTTATTCAACTTGTCAATAATTGCAAACGTTTCATCTATCCTGTTTCCAAGTTTTAGCAACTAGGAGACAGTGAAACTCCAGAGGCAATCTAATAGATGTACTTTCTTTTCCTTGAGAAAATATCTAATAGAGCACTTAATTGGTAATGTTGGATATATATTCTTCTGCTAGAATTTCATGAACTATGTACAGCAAAAAAGATCACCTTGGGAGATGGAGAGGACTCCGCAGCTGCTGACTTTAATATGCCAGCAACACCAACACCAACAAGAAATGGAAGCAGCGTGATATAAAGCTTCCTTTCATGTGCACAATAAGACAACTCACTGATTGAGGTAACTATAAGTACTGGTACATACAAGTATTTGGTGACTGTCAAAACAATGTCAAGAATAAGTTGAACGAAATTGTCCGCTGCTCTATTCCAAGGGAAACTCTTGACAGGTGCAGGAGCGCTGTCCCACAATTTCCTTGCCCGGTCTATTATGTTCTCCAAGTTAAATTTTAGAGGTTCATCGGATTGTCCAGCTGCTATGTTCATATTGCAGATTATTTTAGGTCTTGCAATTGAACGTGTCCCATATGATCTGATGCTCAAAATGCACATATTAGACTTAGTCAACGGTCGTAAAAT